GGCTGAAATTTTTTCCGAATTTGGGTAATCAATAACGTGGATTGCATCAAAGTAAGCAAATCTTTTGATGCTCCTCAGGGATCTATATAGGCGATGGGAAAGTTATTCATTTCACTCGTGGAGATGGTCTAGAGATCGGAACAGGGACTTTCTTGGACAAGATCATCGTTGGTTCTGTTCCGAATCATGGAGGAGACAACAACCCTTGTCCTAATTGTGGACATCAATCCAATCTTGACGGTGTGATCTCTTCTTGCCTTGACTGTTTTCTCTCCGGAGGAAACCTCTATCTCTTCGAGTACGGTGTTTCTCCGGCTATCTTTCTCGCCAAGCTTCGAGGCGGTACTTGCACAATAGCAACTTCAGATCCTTCTGATGAAGTCATTTCTCGTGCGAAATTCCTATTATCGAGAAATGTCTTTGGTAATTACCATCCTTTCGAGAACAATTGTGAAGATTTTGCAATATATTGTAAAACTAGTTTGATGGTCGGTAAAGACTATGTGTTGGGAAGAAGTGGTCAAGCCAGTTCGGTGAGTGCAGTTGCTTTCGCTTCACGCATGGTTAGTCCTTGGGCCAGTAATGCTATTCGTCTCTTTACGGACATTGGTATGAGAAAGGATGTTATGAAGGTGCCTGTCGAGAGTCTTGTGGCAGTTAATACCTCGGCAAGAGAAGGATGATCTGATTGCACAATGTGTTTCTTGGCTGTGAGTAAAAGTTTAGGGAAGGAGGAGCAGAGAATATGATTCTGACTAACAGTTGTAGAACTCAATTATTTTTTTGGTGTGTGTGAATGCATTTTAGTTAAGGTCTAGATTGTTTATTTGCGGTAACGTTTGCTAATTGCTACGCTAAACACAAACGAAAGGACAACCTTGCGTTTACGATTGCACTTTTGTGCGAAATTCCTCTTAATTATTGCAAAACTGGTTGATAAAATTTACACGGTAGAACATCTTCGTTGTTAAAAGAAAGGGAAAAAGGTAAGAACATAGAACACCTGGCAATTTACAAGAGACAAGTCCAGAGCCAGACCAGGATTCCTTCCTTAGATTGATCTTTACCATCATTCTACAAGGATTTTCTCTATATTGCTTTCAAGAAATTAAAATCTTACGGCGGAGACGCTGCTACTGAGAATAATAAGCTGGATGATATTGACCCGGCAACAAAAATCCATTTTGCTGACCATAGTAAACAGACGGAGGAGCTGCAGCAGGACCATATAGCCCAGCTAATGGGTTCATGTAAGGGACAACACCACCACCAAGTGCTGAGTTCACAAGCCCAAAAGGGTTTAACTGTAACCCAGGCGTAAGAACAGCGTCCGGTCTTGAAACTTGCTGCTGCTGACTCAGAGCTGGAGGAGGTTGTGTACCATTCCCATTTCGAGTCCGCTTTCTCGCCTTTTGCTGTGACTCTTGCTGAGGATTAGCGGCGTTGCGTTTCCTCAGCGCTTTTTGTTTCTCCAGCTCTTCTACACGTTCCTCCAGTTTCTCGTCACAAAACTCGGATTCAAGGTTTTGATCTTTGATGATTTTGATCACTGCTTTCAATGCACTGACTTCTTTATCAGTGGCTTCGTTCTGCGACTTAAGAGAGTAGTTATCTTCAACGCAGATTCTATAAGCAGCTGCTCTCAACTCCTTAATGTAAGATTTCAAAACGGCGATTGGTTGGAATCCATCAGTCATCCCACACTCATACATGAATCTGACTGCCAAGATTGGTTTGCTAGAATCCAAGAGCTTCTTGATCAGATTTCCAACTCTTTCCCTATCTAAACCGATCTTGTTACACACCGAAGTTGCTTGCTTATACTTACAGATCATGAAAACGTAATCCGAAAGCTCCTCTGAGCTAAACTCAGATCCCAATTCGAAAGCTGCAACCAAATGCAGAAACAGTAACGCCTCGAAAGGCTTGGCACCTATCTTCGTTTTCCAATCGTAACTCAGTTTCTTAGCTCTCTCTCTCACAACATCAATTTTGATATTCGTATTGATCTCAATCAAAACTTCCATTAACAAAACGAAAACCCTCCTAACATCAACTGATTTTCTCGATGATGGAGTTTGGTGATACGAACCTTCGATTGCGTCTAGCACCATGGAAGCTGGATCTGTAGAGTACCGAATCGCTGCAGAGAGCTCTAGATTGAGAGGCGAATCATCATCCCAACGATCAATCAAATACTTGCGCAAACCAATTCCGTCATTCTTCTCACACAACATTCTCAACTCCGGTTGAACAACCGTTGTCTCCTCCTCCGGCGACGTCCTTGCCTCGGCGGTGTCGATTTTGTGCGAATCATGTTCCAGAGGAGATGCAGATTGGAGGAGGCGGAAACGGTTAGAGAGGGAGGATTGGAGAGAAGAAAAGTGGGAGTCGATCTCAGACCATGAAAGCGAGAAAGACGGTGAAAGGAGAGAGCGGTGTTCTTGAAGATCGTCGAAAGCTTTCTTCAGCTTCTCCTTCTTCTCGTCAATCTGATTTATCGCGGCGGCGATTGTTTCACTCTCCGTCATTGATGAAACCCTAGCTTTTCACCGGCGATCACAAATTCGTCGATTACAATTGTTTCATACATTATAGCGGACCAACACATAGGAGTTGTTGACATTCAGTAACCGGTTCGGTTCGGTTCAGTTCAAAAGAATCAAAACCGAACTTTTTTAGTTTGGTCTGATTTGGTTCGATTTAGTTTCGGTATTATCGTTCTTATGATTTGGAATATACATAATTCAATGAGAAATTTCGTTTCGATTTGGGATCCGGTTCGGTTTATATTCAACCCGTATTAAGATTTAAGACAGAGACACCACAACACCAGTGTAGACTCTCGAGTCAGCAGTTATCGGAAAGAAGATGAATTCGAAGGGGAATTAGCGAATTTGAGAGACAAACCCTAATAATCTCATCTCCAGATTCGACCCCACCTTCACTTGTTTTTCTTTTAGGTTTTGTTCGCGGCGAATCATCGCTAAATCATGTCTTGGTTACCTGTAGAATCTGATCCTGGTATTTTGTCTTCTTTATCTCCTCCAATTTGGGGTTTTTGTCGATTTTTTTATTTTCATATTGTTTGTGGCTTCTGATTATAAGTTTCATGACTTGATTTCTTCACGTTTCTCTGATCAATTGGTTTCCACCATCCAATTTTTTTTTTTTTTGTAATGTAAGTAGTTTTGTTTATGTTTCTCTCATTCCGCAAGTTCTTAGATTTGTTATACACTAAAACTACCTGAAAATCGTACATACATTAATTTCGAGCTACACAGAGATGTTTGGTCGGATTCTTGATTCGTAGTGATAGTGTAGGACTAAAGCCAGAATTACGTTTTGATTCCTTTGCAAGTGGTTCTTAGTATGTCAGGAATTTTATGCTTTTCGAAATCATTTATCAACAATGGTTGGTCTTATTCTAAAGTTCATTGTGTCTGTATTTCTTTCTCTCTATAACCATATATGTAAGATACAATGTCGATGTTTTGTTTGTTGTTCTTAATTTTTGTTCGTTTTCGGTGTTATATGTTTAGGTGTTTTCACTGAGATTATACAACAAATGCAAGTGAAAGGTGTGCAGGTTGAGGAATTGTATTCCTTGGACCTTGATTCTCTGAATGAAATCAGGTAGTTTACTAGTTACTCTTCAACATTTTCTCGTTTCAAAAAGACAGAAAAAAATTCTTACTATAGGGTTCTCTTCGAGAAATCTTTTTCGCCGGGTTGTCTGATATTTTTCTGCCCTAAACACTTGCAGACCTGTATATGGATTGATATTGCTTTACAAGTGGCGTCCAGAGGAAAAGGAGAATCGTGTTGTAATCACGGAACCAAACCCGAATTTCTTCTTTGCAAACCAGGTCAGTCACTATCCATTAGATTTCTGGCAAACTGGTGAGATTATAATCGTAATTTGCAAATCATAACCTTTTATTTTTTTGAACCATGTGTTTCTTCTTGCAGATAATCAACAATGCTTGTGCGACCCAAGCGATATTATCTGTCCTCATGAACTCTTCGGCAATCGAAATTGGCTCGGAACTATCAGAACTGAAAGAATTCGCCAAAGACTTCCCACCTGAACTGAAAGGTTTAGCCATCAACAACAACGAAGCAATACGCGCAGCTCACAACACATTTGCCAGGTCAGACACATCTTCCACCACAGAAGAAGAAGAATTAGTTGCTGCGAAAAACGAAGACAGCGATGATGATGTGTACCATTACATCAGCTACTTACCTGTCGATGGTATCTTATATGAGCTCGATGGTCTTAAAGAAGGACCCATTAGTCTTGGGCAGTGTCTTGGTGAGCCAGGGGGAATCGAATGGCTCAAAATGGTCCAACCTGTGGTACAAGAGCGGATTGACCGGTATTCACAGAACGAGATTCGGTTTAGTCTCTTAGCTTTGGTTAAGAACAGAAAAGAGATGTATCAAGCTGAACTGAAAGAGTACCAAATGAAGCGAGAGAGGATTTTGCAGCAGGTAGGTAGTTTGCAAGCTGATAAATACGCCGAGAAAAGCAGTTACGAGGCTCTGGATAAATCTCTTTCGGAAGTCAATATTGGGATCGAGACTGTTTCGCAGAAGATTGTAATGGAGGAAGAGAAGTCTAAGAATTGGAAGAAAGAGAACATCAGAAGGAAACATAACTATGTCCCTTTCCTCTTCAATTTCCTCAAGATTCTTGCAGACAAGAAGAAGCTGAGGCCTCTCATTGACAAGGCTAAACGTAATACCTAAATCCGCTTGGCCTGGAGTTTAACTCGGAAGGAAATCAGACGTTTTAGCAATCTGAAAACCGCGGTTTTATGAAGCAAAACTGTTTTAACTTATTTCCCTGGTCACTCCCATATATGAGATTTAATTGTAATCGGTCTGAGGATTTTGTAGAACCAAAACTCTTACTTAATTACATGTTCCTTATAACAAATGCATATAAGAAACAACAAATCAAAAGCTATTACAAAACCTGTTCTCTTCGTTTATGTAAAACTTGTGTACCAAAGATATCTCTAGTTTACGGTTCATGAACTCAAATCAGCTTCTGTGCTCATCTTCTGCGCGTATCATTAACCAATTCCAGAAAATCGGGTCGACTGCTTAGTCACAAAACCGGAGATCACTCAGGCCTCGTAGTTGTGAAGGAAGAGAGTAAACCGGCTGCTTGAGCCGGTAATATATCGCCAAACGTTGACATAGCAGCTGCTGATCTATCCTTGAATATTCCCACTTGTCCATCAGTTAGTATTGATCCCAGTTTCAATGTGCTTTCCCCAAATCTACTACCAGCCTGAAACAATTTTTACATGATCTTAAGATATTAAACAGATAACAGATAACTGCGCCATTTATTGACAGGAGACTAGACCTTACCTGCATAAAGGACTTTAAGAATGGGGAAGCCACGCCAAAACTGGAACTATCGTCCAAATCACTCGTTTGAGAAAGATCGCCGTTTGTGAATGCCTTCCACGAGTTTCTTGACAAAGCTTCATTTGATGTAACTGGAATAGAGACCTTATTTGTACTTCTAGAAGACAAAGCTGGAGCGCTACATTGACCCAAAGCAAAGAGGTCTAGTATGAGAAACCATGTTCCCAAAATTCTACAAAGGCTACAAACAGTTATTGGTGTGGAAAAAGAAAATCTAACCTTATGGGAAGGTATTTGAAGCGGGGAACTGTGGAGCATGGCATGATATTCGATCCCGAGTTAGTTGATAGCTTCTGCACGGTATCTGTGTACATTCGGTTTAGTTGCACAAAGAATCCAAAGAGTACAGCGTGGTGTAGGTATGACTGCTTTTCATTCTCCCAAAGATAAGGCTCGTACCTATTTTTTGGCATTTCAAAATTCAAGAGTCAGGGAATGATTGAGACAATAAACAATAAGACGGGATTCCCATGAAGTACTAAGAGTAGCCAAAAAAGCAAAGATATATGTCTTCGGCAAGCTTTAGGGATAAGGTTCCTTACGTGAGCCAATCTATGGGATCCAACTTTTGGGTTAGTTGAGAGATCACTCCATCAATGCGACCTCTAATGACGGACTTTGTTTGCTGTTGGCCTTGCTTTCGCCTGAAAGCCGATCTATTCATTGAGCTCTTTGGTATCTCTACATTGGTACTTGTATCACCCCCCGAAAGAATGTCAGATGCAAATCTCAGATCCAGCAAAATCTGTAAAACTCCTTTCTCTGAAATTTGGGGTTCGTTGGCCTCCCTGGCAGATAAGAAATCCTCATAAATAATGGTGATCTGCATCGTACAATGGAAGATTGAAAAAATCATTCTTAAGGCAATCACCAGCTTGGAGATATTTACTGATGAAAAGGAAACAGGTGTGAATAGGGGAAAAAATTATCAAACAGCTAGCTACAAACATTTTGAAGAGAAAACCGTTCCTTGTTAGAAATATTTCTGCAGCAAATAGAAAATTGACAAAAAGGAGAAGACGTAAACAGAGACAGCACACCTTCTCCAATAGGCTTGAAGCAAATTTTTGCAAAATTGACTTATCCAGTACGTGACCTCCAATTCGATGAATTTCTTCTGATGCCCGACAGAGAAATGAAATCATATAGAGCGAAGGCAAGGACGGAAGTGATATCTTCAACTCAGATTGACTCTCGTCCTGCTCTTCCTTGACTATTGTCTCTTCCCAGCCCTGCATCATTTTTCAAAGATGATTAAGGACACTACAATAGGAACCTTGCATATGATTATCCAAAATGCAAGAGGGAGTGTAAACTATCACATTAAAACTTCAAAGAATCAGTATATAGAATAGTTATGAACTATTTCCACCAAAGACAAAGGCATTGAACACGGGACATAAGCAAACTAACTACCTCTGTAAATTTAGTCAGCAATTTCTAAAAGACACAATATGCAGAAGTGTAGGAGGGCAAACTTAAACAATAAAGCAAAAAAGGATTGATTGTTTTTAGTTACCCTTAAAGGAGTTGTAGCAGACAATCCATCATCACTCCTAAGATCACGCAAGAGAATAGCTGAAAGCTCATCAGATAACCACTGTATCCACAACGTATGAGCTTTGATGCACAGTTCTCGCATAGTTCTATTAAGCTCATCAAACTTTGGACTTGTCTTCTCTTCCGCTCCAAGTAGTGCAGCAACAGCTAACGAACTCTGCTTTCTAAGATCGTTATGCAACTGCTTTCCAGGGCTGTCAGCAGTGACTGGAGTATTTGACCCAAATTTTGGTTGCCTCAACAAGGATGATAACTTATCAGAAACCGCAGACATAGTTTCTCTACACCACAATCTTGGAGAACCGAGAATTAAGGGAACATGTTTTGAGTGGTTCAATAATGCAAACAAAAGGCGTCCCATAAAAAGAGATTTCTCAATTATTATAGCAGGTGAAATTGCTTCAGGGTCCCTGTTCTCTTTCTTTATGGCAGTACAGAGAAATTCAAGTTCTTTATCTACATCTGCAAGAAGTGTTGAGACACTGTCATAACACTTATTCTGCACGTATGGAGCAAGATCCCTTAGCCTCGGACCTGCCTTTTCTGACTCAAAGAAGCTTAGGAGGTCTTCCAAAACGCTCTGGCAGCGCATATCAACTGCATCTCTCATTTGACTAACTTCAGGACCAAAGTACGCATTTAGACAACTTTGGAAGTCACTTTCTTCAGGTGATGTTTTATTTCCGGATACAAGACCAACTTTCTTTGCATTAGGCTCAATGAACCAGACACCACCACCTGTTGAAGGTCTGTTTAAGTATGCTTGGAAGTTGATCTTCTCACCAGTGATCTCGCTAAAAGCATGAACCGACTCTGCCACATTGACAGCATTAGCCAAATCCTCAAATCTGGAGTCGATAATGGATTTCATTCTTTCCACAAATGCCTTCTCAAATATTTCATCCCATAGGTTCAAATCGTCTGCCAGAACAAGCTCCCGGATTCTATTCCAAGGCAGCTCTATCTCAGACCCAAAAACACTTCTAAGCCAATCCAAACTACCCTTCAAGACATCTTTGCTATCAATGGTCTCCCTTATCAACTTTTCAGCTGTTCCAAGCTCTGCGCCAGTAACAATAACTTCAATCAAATGCTTCCCACTAACCTTACCAACAATCTGTCCACCGCATTCCCTCAACCAAGTCAGACAAGCCTTAGCAATATCACTTTTATCAAGAATGACCATGACAGATTCTAACTTATCTCTGAAGGATTTCCACAACCCAATCTCTTCTTCTGGATTCGGAATTCCACCAAACAGTTGGGAAGCTGGTGGGGTACTCAAGATTGTCTTATAAAATAGTGGCATATCAGTCAAGGCCTGAAAGAAGAGTTCCCCAACTTGTCCTACTGTAACCTGAATCACACTCAACGCATCACAAAATACTGAAACAACATTACCGGCATCATCAGCAGTACAAGCATTCAACTTTTGCAGAATCCAAGTCTTCCTTGAGTCGAGAAACAACTCAAGCACTTGATTTGGATCAAGCTCATCAACCACTGCTACGGCAGTTAAGGCGTCCACATAAGCCCCTAGTCCTAGACCCGGATCCAGAAGCCTCTCATGGCTCCTCTGCGAAATCTGAGCCTTGAAACTCTCCACTATCTGCCATTGATGCTCCAACAGTGGAAAATTCGCCAACAGCTTACTCTGATCCACCTCTGATGCACCACCACCGCCACATACCTCCAACTTTACCAGTCTCTGCTGTACATGCTGAGCACGCATGTACCTTCCCGCAGCCTCTAGAAACATAGACTCATCAAGGCATCCCCATATGTTCTCCGGCGTATCAACCAGATACTTAACACGACAAGCGATCCCATAGACATTGACTCGGACTGGGTTAGAGCTAGCAAGTTTGGGAGTTTCCGCTACAGAAGATGACGAAAGCGATCGAATGTTACCATGGATCGAAGAGATATTCGCAGAGATCGACTCACACAGAGACTTCATGTGCACGATCGAGTCAGCTGAGTCGATTAAATCGCGGTACCTAGTCCCCACGAGTTGTCGAAGCTCCTCTTTCTTATCCTCGATGTTCTTCCTAGTCGCCGACTCCACATTCCGAATCTCAGACATTGGTTTCGTGCGAAACAGAGACTCCGCATCTCGTTGACCACCTCCGCTAGTGCCAAGTGTCACGGCGGCAGAACGGTACTCCGCGGTGGAAGCCGATGACATTCTCATGGTTTCTCGCGCTTTCCTTCGTGCCTACTCTTTCTCTCTAGCAAGCCATCAAAACTTCCATAGACTGAACAAGAAGAAGAGAATCAAAGCGAATCTGATCGGATCTGGTAATGCTTTGCCTCAGATTCAGAAGTAGAATCCCAGAATTAAGATCTAATTTTTTTTGTCCGAGTTTCTGCCATTTCCGTGAAGAAAGAAGACGAGAATTAAGCGTTTCCTTCAAAATTACAAATTTGCCCCTATTTGGATTCGCTATAGAAGAATTCAGCAGACAAACCGGTCCGGTATGGTAAGGTTATACTTTAAACTGGTTTAGGTAAGCAGATCAATGTATGCCAAAAATGTATTTTTTTATTCACATAACCAATCATATTTAGACACATGGCTCAGTTTAGAATTAATTAAATTTAAAAAAAAATCGAGATAGTGGTAAAAATTACACCCAAAAAAAATCGTTACTTATAGCTTTTTGGTGTTGCAAAAGCAGCACGAGAAAACGAAATTAAGCTTTTTGGATTGATTTAATTGTAAAGAAATATAACTAAAATTACATTGTATTAGATGATTAAAAAAAACAAAATTTATATATGTAACTAATCAAGATGTAATTATGGGTGTAAATGGTAACAGAGGAATTTTGGAAACTTGTGGAATCATAATTTTTGTGTTTTTTTGTAGAATCTAGCAGAATAACTTTGAATTTAAATGGTAACTGCGGAATCTTGCGAATTTTTTTTTTAAAATAAAGTAATTAAACTTATTAAACTATTAATAAAAATTGTGTTTGTCGAAATAAAATATTTATGTTTATAAATGTATTAAATTTTATAGAATAATAATCTTTTCTTAAATTATTTTCTAAACCCAAATTATTTCATCAATATTTTTTTATTTTACACTAGATTTGGTTTTGATATCTAAATTCATTAAAATATACAAACCAATAACCTCCAATTAATTTTGTTAGTCCATACTAATAATTCATTAAACATATATATCATCAAAAAAAAAAATCAATTGTCTATCTGATATAGTTTACTCGTCTTGTTCAATTCGTCATGGTTTTTTGTACTATCCGTTTCATTACTTTTGTAATTAAACAAGATTTTACACCAAAGAATCATTTATTTTTTAAATGATCTCTTATATATGTAATGTTCTAAGAAAAACGGTTATATTTCATTTTAAATTTTGTCATATAATTTAGTTCATACTTCAAATACTTGTGGAATTAAATATTATAACCCACTTAGTTTTCAGATCTCACATATAGTTATTATCAATTTAATGCTTTAATTCTTCTTCATTATTCTTTTATTTAAACTAGGTGGTTATCCGCGCATACACGCGGGTTTATATCGACAAAGTTTAAATTTGTAATCACTTTTTTAATGTTTTGATTATAAATGATCTTAACAAAGTTTTTTTTTTATATGAAGAAAAATCCGGTGAAGCTATATCTACATTGTTTGAGTTTTACAAAATTTTGCTGTTTGTAAAGTGATCTACTGGTTGCGGAAAATAAATGGCTAGAGTAAATTCATCAAAACAAAACAAAATAGCATGCATAATAAGACCTATTAAAATGTAATG